TCGCGCTCTCACTTTCTCTCTCTCTCTCTCCCCACTTCTCTCATCAAATTAAAAAAAATAATTATAAGAAAATAAATAAATATTAAAAAAAAGAAATAAGATATTAAATGGCACAGTATAATTATGGAAAAGGTAATCTTGTGCAGTTGGAGTAGAGACCATGAGGTGAGGATTAAGGAATTCTGGCTTTAGTCTATCTACCACTCTTTTGCAAGTATGTTCCATGAAATCTACCCAAAATGTCCCATTTGATTGTGGTCCAATAGTTTGAGGAATTCTGAGTATTAGAGCTCACTATTCAAAAGGAAAGTATAACACACTCGAGTATGTTAAAGTCTCTGAGAAGTTCTGTGTTGGAAGGAAATTCTCCATTGTTTTTGTTTTCTAGTTTTTTTCTATAGAGCTCATGTACTTGCTGGAGAGAGAGAGAGAATGAGAAATAACCCCCCATGGTGGATGGTCATGCCACAATCCCTTCTTCACTGCTATCCTCTTGGGATTTGGGGCATACATGTACATGGGCCCAGCATGTTTTCAAGCTGCCAGGTCTAGGAATTGAATGACACAGTTGGCCATGTAGGATCCAGCTGCCTTAACCTCCTTGCCACCTGCTGGCCCTCCACTGGATTTTTATGTTTTTGCATGTCTTGTAGACAGACACACTGACTGCCTTTGTTCTGGACAATTTTCTCAAGGATATTTGTATAGCCTTAGAAAACAGAGATAAGAGTCTCTCTCCAAAGCAAAGGGTAAGCATGCTTACCACCAATTAGGGACGATCTGGGTTCCCAGAGTTTGGTGTTCCTTTCCTATAATGCAATGGATTGGTCCTATTTGTACTGTCCCTATGGGAAGTGGAGTTTAGGAAACCTGTACAAGAAAATGTTGATACTCTGGCTACTTGCTGTTGTTGTATTAAAGTTCTTTAACTCAGACCAAGGAGTGTCAGGAGAGATTTTTGCTATAGGGTACATGCATTCACTGGAGAGACAGAGAAAGACAGAAAGAAAGAGAGAAATCACACCCCACCCCGGGGCGGGGGGGGGGGGGGGTTGGCCACGCAGCAATCTCTTCTCCTCCATTCTCCTCTTGGGATTTTGAGCACACGCACACACACACACACCTGGAGTGAGGTTTTTCTTTTCTTTTCTTTTCTTTCTTTTTTTTTTGAGAGGTTTTTTTGCTATAGGGCATGTGCGCTCATCAGAAAGTAAGAGAGAGACAGAGAGATAGAAAGTGAGAAATCATCCCCCTCAGTGGGGGATGGCCACGGCTCAATCCCTTCTCCTCCATTTTCCTCTCAGGATCTTGGGCATGCACGCACATGCGCTCAGCATGAGTTTAAGCCACAGGGTCCGGGACTCGAACCGTGGTCGACTACATGGGAGTCCAGCAACATAGACATTACGCCAACTGCTGGTCCCTGGCATGAGTTTTAAACTGCTGTGTCCAGGACTCCAACAGCAGTTAACTACGTGGGAGTCCAACGATGTAACCATTATATCATCTACTGGTCCTAGAGTGTCACATTTTCTGCCAGCGCTCATGAATCTGTGGAAGGCTAACTTGTTACCTTACAAGGAGGGTAAGACCTCAGACCCTTCAAAGTTCTTGAGCCCTAAAGCAAAAAAAGAAGAACTTTGTTTAAACTAGGGTTTTCTGACTTTAGTTTTTCCAAGTATCCTTTTTTAAAAAGTTTATTTATTCTGTAAGTGAGAGACACAGGAAAAGATAGAGATACAGCACCCTGACAGAGTCTTGATACCCTGATCCACTTCAGCTTTAGTCAGCATGGATCATGACACATGCATGTCCAGAGTCCTCAAGAGAGGTCTCTGGACACGAAAAGGCAGCCTTTCCATGTGGGTTGGTCTTGCAGAACATCACATTTTACCACTGTGCCACTGCCCAGGTCCCCAAGTATTCTTATTATACTTGGTAGAAAAAAACCTGGAAATGTAATAGTAGGCAATAAGAAGAGATTACTATCTGGAAGATAAGTGGACCAGTTAAAAGGGCACTGCATTAGTTCAAATGAGAGATGATGAGGGTCTTGAAAGTTAAAGGGGGGATGACTGTTGGCATATGTTATAGAAGAAGATAGGCCCAGCTATGGTAGTATGCACTGCTAAGACAGTGTGATGCACAGGCTGGGACCACATGCGAGACCTACATTTGATTCCTGATCTAACCTAAAGGCTGGGCACAGTGGTGTGCTCCTGTAATCCTAGTAACTTGAAGAGGCTAAATCAGGAGGAAAGCAAGCTTGGGGTTGGACTGGGCAACAAAGCAAGACCTTGTCTGCACAAAAAACAAAGAGCTAAGTGTGTACCCCTACAGTCCCAGCTGGGAAGTTAAAGCAGAAAAATCATGACAGTGGGATCTTGTCTCTAAAAAAAAAAAAAGAGTACAACAAAATATCACTAATAATACAGAATACAGAAGACCAGATTTGGGAAGAAGATTACAAGGTCATTCATGTGAAGATGTATAACAAGAAGTTATACCCAAACCTTCCCTTTTATGTTTTATACAATTATTATTGGGTAAAATAAGCCACATAAATATATGAGTTAGACACATATATTGGGATGTTAGAAAAATCACTACATATTTTTATGAAAAAAAATGTGTCATGACTTTTCCAATGACCCCATATAAACAAAGACAAAATTCGTTCATGTCCTTGAGTGTTTGTATGCAAGGAGAAAGAACTGGTAAAGAGGCTGAAAAAAATACAGGTGTGGGACCAGCAGTTAGCGTAATGGCTATGTTGCTGGACTCCCATGTAGTCGACCGCAGTTCGCATCCTGGACCCAGTGGCTTAAAACTCATGCCGGGTGCGTGTGCGTGCATGCCCAAGATCCCGAGAGGAGAGTGGAGGAAAAGGGATTGCGGCACGGCCATCCCCCCTGGGGGGTGATTTCTCGCTTTCTGTCTCTCTGTCTCTGTGTCTGTCTGGCGAGCGCACGCACCCTATAGCAAAAACCTCTCAAAAAAAAAAGAAAATACAGGTGTGAGGGGCCAGCCAGTGGCATGGTGATTAATGTGACTGGATTCTGCATAGTCCTGGACCCAGCAGCTTGAAAACCACGTTGAATGCTTGTGCATGCATGCCCAAAATCCTAAGAGGAGAATGGAGGAGAAGGGACTGGAGTATAGCCATGATCCCAGGTGATTTCTCGCTTTCTCACTCTCTTTCTTCTTCTGTGAATATATACATCCTATAGCAAAACTAATACACACACACACACACACACAAGCACATGTGCATACACACACACACAGAGGTGTGAGAACTCATGATTAATAAGAGAAGCTGGGTACAGGATCCATAGCACAAGAAAATGGTTTGTGCCAGCCTGTAGCTTGGTGGTTAAGGTGGCTGGATCCCACATGGTCAATTGCATGGTTCAACACACAGGGTGCTGGGGCTAGTAGGTGGCATGGTGGTTAAGGTGCTGAACTACCACATAGCCAGCTGCAGTTAAAGTCCTGGATCTGAGGGACCAGCAGTTAGCGTAATGGCTATGTTGCTGGACTCCCACATGTAGTCAACCGCGGTTTGCGTCCCGGACCTGGTGGCTTAAAACTCACGCTGGGCACGTGTGTGTGCATGGCCAAGATCCCGAGAGGAGAATGGAGGAGAAGGGATTGCGGCATGGCCATCCCTCTGGGGGGTGATTTCTCACTTTCTATCTCTCTGTCTGTCTCTGTCTGGCGAGCACACGCGCCCTATAGCAAAAAAAAAAAAAAAAAAAAAAAAAAAAAACCTCCCAAAAAAAAAAAAAAAAAAAAGTCCTGGATCTGGCAGCTTGAAAATCACAATGGGTGTGTGTGCATGTGTGCCCCAAATCCTGAGAGGATAAAGGAGGAGAAAAGACTATGTCATAGCCATCCTCACTGGGGGGTGATTTCTCACTTTCCCTCTTCCTGTTTCTGTATCTCTCTGATGAGCGTATTCTTCCTATGGCAAAAACCTTTAAAAACATATATACAGGGTGTGTGCATGTGTGCCCAAAATCCTAACAGGAAGAATAAATGAAGGAGAAGAGATTGTAACCTGGCCATACCCACGGGAGAATGTTTTCTTGCTTTCCCTCTCTGTCTCTTTCCAGCAAGTCCATGTACCCTCTGGCAAATCTAAAAATAACTAACTAGCTAACTAACTGACAAAGGAAAGAATTTAGCTTTGCACAAAAAGGAGGATCAGCTATGTGGGATCCACTAAGACAAGAGACAGGCAAATAAAGACAGGTACGGGCTTCTACAAAGGACTTAAATATGACATAACAGTAAGATCTGTACTATGATTTTAATTTTTTTCATAGTTTATTATAAGGCACATGCACTTCCTAGAGACAGAAAAGGAGAGAGAGTGAGAAAAAGAGAGAAGTCACCCCTTGTGGGGCATGGCCAAGTCACAATCCCTTCTCCATTCTCTTCTCAGGATTTTGGACATAATCTTCAAAATCATGCTGGGTGCATGTGCATCCGTGCCCCAAATCCTGAGAGAATAATGGAGAAGATGGGATTGTGACATGCAGCCACACACACCCAGCATGTTTTTCAAGCCATTGAGATCAGGACTTGAACCACACAGTCAGCTATGTGGGATCCATCTACTTTAACCACCATGCCATCCACTGGCCCTGTACTATGATTTTTTTTAAAATTACTTGAAAATGGTCTATTTTAAATTGTTAAAATGGTAAATTTTGCGTTCTATATATTTTGCTACCATAAAAATCGTGTATGCGAGAGAAGACTTCAATGCTGTTCATGGAGAATATTTAAAGTGTGAGTTTAGCGGCCGGCAGGTGGCATGGTGGTTAAAGGCGCTGGATTCCCACATGGCCGACCGCAGTTCAAGTCCTGGACCTGGCAGCTTGTTTTCTCACTCTCTCTCCCACTCTCTCTCTCACTCCGTCCCTCTCTGGTCAAATTGAAATAAACAAATGAATAAATAATAAATAAAAAGTTAAATAAAATAATTATTTTTAAAAAATTTTTAAAAATAAAGTGTGAGTTTATTTCAGTGCAAAAAAGTATGAAATCTATCCAAAGTTTTTTCTTTTGTTTTAAAAAAAGTTTTGCCAGAGAGCACGTGCACTTGTTGTAGAGAGAAAAAGAGAGGGTAAGTGAAAAGCGCCTCCCCCAACATGCGGAACACCAATGCTACAATCTCTTCTCTATCTCTTCTCCTGGGATTTTGGGCATGTATGCATATGTGCCAGTATGTTTTTCAAGCTGCTAGACCCAGGACTTGAACTGCAGGGTCAGCCATGTGGGATTCAACCACCTTAACCAACACCCCAGGGGCTGGCCCCAAAGTTTTTTCATAATACGCATGTTCCATAAACTTTTTAAAGATCCCTTTTACTTGATTACTACTCGTTTTTTATATTCTTTTTTCCCTCACCTCCCTATCCCCAATTTTTATATTCTAATAGGTTAGTATTGACCACTATATTTTATGGTTAGCTGAAATTTAGTTCACTAATTACTCTAGATCTTATATAAAAGCAGTACTACTTAACTTCTTGTGGTCCCTTAAAAATCTATTTCATGGGACCAGTAGGTGGTGTAGTGGTTATGGCATTGGACTCCTACATGGTTGATCCCAGTTCGAGTTCTGGAGCTGGTGGCTTGAAAAACATGCAACACATGTATGTCCATGCCCAAAATCCCAGGAGGAGAATGGAGGAGGAAGGACTGCAGCGTGGCCATTCCCCTTGGTGGTGATTTCTCAGTTTCCCTCTCACTGTCTGTCTGTCTGTGGTAAATGCATGTGCCCTATGGCAAAAACCTTTTTAAAAAAGAATGTACTTCACTTTATCCATATTTTACCTATCCCTACACAATAGAATAAACAGAAGATCTTACCATCTGAAATACATCAGAGCCTTCATCAAAATCCACCATGGCAAAAAATATCCTGTTGGTAAATGCACTGGAGTATCGCCAGGAGTTTGCCAGAATCTGGAATTCTTCATCAGCTTGTCTGGATGCAATTAGATTTGTGAAGATAACATATAAAAAAATTTTTTAAAGCAACCTAGCTTTATTAGCAGCAAAACAGGTCAATCAAGCAATAACAGTTTTTCCAATGGAAAAAATACTTTAAAACACTGACAAGTCAGGCTCTGCTGACAGAGTTAGGACAAACCTTGTCTTGGTTCAAGGAAAAGTCTTACCCCAAGTGTTGGGAATTTCACCAGAAACCGTATAGCAATTGACTGACTCTACTTCATACTTCATTCCTATTTCTTACTTCAAAGCTCTCTCAGTGATCACTGGGAAGATCCAGCAAATTGTATCTAGGACAATTTTTAATATCCTAAATTACTTCTAAGAGTTCAAAGACAGGTAGAAATACTTTTTCTAGAGAAACCAGAACTATATTATATATTAATTCATTTAAAAACCCTAAGACACAAATGCTGCTTGTCAAATAAAAATATAAATAGATGATTAGAATGAAAAATAAGGGGAACCAGCAGTTAGCGTAATGGCTATGCTGCTGGACTCCCACGTAGTCGACCGCGGTTCACGTCCCAGACCCAGTGGCTTAAAACTCACGCCGGGCACATGTGCATGCATGCCCAAGATCCCGAGAGGAGAATGGAGGAGAAGGGATTGCGGCGTGACCATCCCCCTTGGGGGGTGATTTCTCGTTTTCTGTCTCTATGTCCCTCTCTGTCTGTCTGGCGCGTGCACGCGCCCTATAGTGAAAAACCTCTCCAAAAATAAAAAATAAAATAAAAATAAAAATAAGAAAAGCCTAGGGAATTGAGATTAATTCAAATTTCATCTTCGATTCTTCCCCTATATCCTATGTTTTCAGCTTCTAAGATCTGACTTTTCATTTGAAACTAGCTTTTAAAAAATATTTTAAAGAATTATTCATTTAATTGTATTAATTATTATTAT